TATATGCCAGCGTAACTTGATTAATTCATTTGTTTGCATAAATCTGAAATGAAGTGGCACAGTTTGTAAGACAGGTTTTGATGTTACTTATCATAAGGTGAACACCTACAAGACTGTGGCTGTGATTGTGTTAGTTGTGCTGCATACAATCACAATTGTGCTGGTTGTGACCTGCAGCAGTTGCTGCAATGTTCAGCCTTCATACACAATCAAACCACACAGCCTGCTGTATTTATTAGAACAGACACTGATTAGGTGCTTCAATAATCCTTCACATGTAGATTCTTGATGATGTCAAGGATGTTTTGCAGAATAGACTTAGCGTGTTTTGAACGAGCAACTTCAACATGAATAAGGTTCATGGCAGAATGGATTTCCTCACTAGCATGCAATGTTTCTCATGACATGCAAACCAGCTGAATTTCTTCAATTACTTTGGCCAAAATAGAACCAAAAATTTCACAGAAGGTGATAACTTGGACATATGCTAGAATAAATGACTGAATATTTGTGATATGAGTTTTTTTTACTTTATGCCTTATAGTGACAATGCAGAGTTAGAGTCCTCAAGAAGGTAGACTCAGTGACTACCCTTATGATGAATGAGAAATAAAGACATTTTGGTAAACAGCTTAAATGTCTCCAAATCTATATCAGTTAACTGGCTGACATGGCAAACTGAATGATCAACTTACGATGACTAGCATTCACAAAAACTTGCTTAAAATCCTCAACTGTTTCAGAGGTTATGGAACCACAAGAATTCAAAGCTGATGTGACGAGAGCCATGGCAAATGCACTGAGTCAGGGAGCTGACACGATTAACTACAACACCATTCTGCTCAAATGTGACAATGAAAAATGTCAATTTTCTCATTCAAGATCAGCTCACTTATTGCCTGAATCCAATGTAGAAAGCATAATCAGTTGGTTAAAAATTAATATTTTCATCAATCAGTTTTTATGCTTGACATGGATTTATGACACTGCTCAGCAGTATGGAAAGCTGTAACACCTTTTTGATTCAAGAATTTTTTTCTCCAAAAACAAAAAAAAGAGAAAATATCTGTCTTACAATCTGTTCATCTTGTTAACAACTACAACAACAGTCAACATGAGGTCATGCAACATGTTTTTGGAAGCTTTTTCCATGTTAGCATGAGACGGCATATTTTGTACACAAACACCTAGAACTTAATGCAGTTGTATAATAAATGTTCTACACAAACAGCTATTGAACTACAGCCAACTGTCTAGCAAATGAAAACCAATCATAAATCATTTTGACACACACAGAGAATGAATAATACTGTCTCCCAATTTTTTCGATTATTTTTCTCATAAAACTACATTCCAGGCTTTAATTCTATTTTTCCCTCACCTCTAGTCTAACAATTATGGAGTAAGGCATTACTTAACCATATCTAACATGATGTAATCATAACCATGTGAATTACTGTGAAAACAAGCTACCTTGTTTGTAAAGAGAGACAACTCCTTTTTTACCAATACTGAACTCAATTACTTCAGCTAACAATAATTTCCCACTTTTCAAGAATACACCAAGATTATACATAATTCTCTGACTTGAAATATAACAGAAAACAGCCTACCATTCAATCCACTTCTGTCTCTCCTCTGCCGTCCGACAGGAGTAGTATTTTGTCCCGTTACTGGTGGACACTTGAAAACAGTGGTCTTGTCCCAGGATACTGCTGTGGAGTGGCTTGATCTGGATGTCTGGCGCGCTCAGGTCCACAGAGTGCATGCTGGACAGGGGGTGAAGCAAAGACTCATGGGACCTCGAGGTGCGCAGACGACTGTTGATTAGATTTCTGAAAGATGGACATAAATGTGTGATTAGACAGAAACAATTTTGTTTGAATTTTGGTGATGATTGAAATATAGGAAACTGCAACTGCAATGTATATTTTGACTGAAAATAAATAGTTTTATACTGTTTTTAATGATGTTACTAATTTTCTTGCTATTTATTCATCACTACTCTTACTAAGATGTATCTTTATTGTATTTTTTCTTTTTTTCCCCTGTAAAAATCAGACAGGAAATTATCCATGCTTTACAATAATACTTTCCCAACCTCGTTCCACATCACCACCATATTGACATGAGAGAAGTAATCACGCCATTCAGACAATAACAATACAAACTTAGACCAGCTGGAATTAACATGTATACCAATAAAACCATGCACACACGTAATATGTCCTGGTTAGTAGAATACTGTATACACTTTTCAGACAGCAGCACAGAAATACCACGAATTACAAATCACATGACTTAGGAATGCGATTTCATGGATCACTTAAAATATTTAGTCTCCTTCACCAGTGGCTTCAGTCATAATCTTATTCACATCTGCCCATAGTTCAGATCTTAAATATACATCAGGGGTATCACACCTAGGTAGCCCACAGTTATTTCCACCTATCAGTTCATTTGATTGAATCTTTAAAGTTCTTTAAAATACTTCTCTGTTTGAATTGTGAACTTACTGAACATATAAAATTTCCTAATCACAAGTCACTTCTTAGTTTATACAGTTAAAACTCAGAAAATCTTTAAGTCCTAACACGACAACTCAAGCTCATTTTTCCAATGATCAACTGATAAATGNGAAGGACAATTCGCTTTTACGTAAATGTCATGGTGATGTGCATTCATGTGGAACTGGTGAATTCGAGGAAAAACTGTGGATCCAATTGGTGAATGGATTTTTACATTTCCTCATATTGACATTAAATATGAGAAATATATGGGAACTGATGGACTATGTGCAAAATGAAGGACTAGTAATGTTGCCAGATAACTGTTCCAAGGAGGACATTAACTTTGTGGAAATATACATTCATGGAAATGATATGGAGCCTAAGACTGAGATTCTAAATTCTTGGTTGACTTTGTTTCACTGGAAAACTTTGTATCATCTGTTACAAAAACTTTCATCAGAGGATCGTGAACTCAGTAGTCATTGGTATCGGCGGATGAAATTTACTTTGCTACATGGATGAAAGATGAACTATATAATGATTTTGACATTTCACATTGACATTGTTATCATTAATAATGTTGTTTTGAGCAACTTTGAGTTAAAATAACTTTGTATGCTTTTAAAGTTGATTTAAAGTGATAATGGATTTAAAACTTTGTTTTGCATTCCTAATGATGAACATTTATGCTGAGGCATGGACTTGATTGACTTTGCTTGTGTTAAAGATAAATGTTGAATCTTGGTATAACGAGTATTAACCATTTGCATTACTTGTTTACTTTAAACATAAATTACGATTTCAGTTGTTGTATTTGTTGAATTGTAGTAATTGTTAGTTTAACAATTTAAAGTAATTGTTTATATTGTAATAATAGGGGGGAGTTTTGTTCGTCAAAAGGGGGGAGAGTGTGACGATGTAGTGTGTTAGATGAGATTATTTTATATTGCTACCGGTAGATGTCTCTGTAAGTAAAGTGTTGTCCGGTGTGCAAGTTTGAATCTCTCCCGTGATTGGTAACCTAAAGGTAAAACTGTTCACTGTATAGTTGGTTCTGATTGGTAAACGTGTACTATCTGAACTAGTATATAAGGTGTAACGTGAAATAAATCGGCCTCTTTGGCCTCTTTGCGGCTCTATTTGCGGCTGTCTTTTGCTCTTCTCTTGGGGCTGATCTCTTTGGGCTATTTGGCTTTGTGCTTATACTCTGAGACACCAGTAAGTACATTGTTATTTGTACCTTCATAAGGCACTCGGCCGCGAAGGCGTAACAGCATGCAATGTTTCTCATGCCATGCAAACCAGCTGAATTTCTTCAATTACTTTGGCCAAAATAGAACCAAAAATTTCACAGAAGGTGATAACTTGGACATATGCTAGAATAAATGACTGAATATTTGTGATATGAGGTTTTTTTACTTTATGCCTTATAGTGACAATGCAGAGTTAGAGTCCTCAAGAAGGTAGACTCAGTGACTACCCTTATGATGAGTGAGAAATAAAGACATTTTGGTAAACAGCTTAAATGTCTCCAAATCTATATCAGTTAACTGGCTGACATGGCAAACTGAATGATCAACTTACGATGACTAGCATTCACAAAAACTTGCTTAAAATCCTCAACTGTTTCAGAGGTTATGGAACCACAAAATTCAAAGCTGATGTGACGAGAGCCATGGCAAATGCACTGAGTCAGGGAGCTGACACGATTAACTACAACACCATTCTGCTCAAATGTGACAATGAAAAATGTCAATTTTCTCATTCAAGATCAGCTCACTTATTGCCTGAATCCAATGTAGAAAGCATAATCAGTTGGTTAAAAATTAATATTTCCATCAATCAGTTTTTATGCTTGACATGGATTTATGACACTGCTCAGCAGTATGGAAAGCTGTAACACCTTTTTGATTCAAGAATTTTTTCCTCCAAAAGCAAAAAAAGAGAAAATATGTCTTACAATCTGTTCATCTTGTTAACAACTACAACAACAGTCAACATGAGGACATGCAACATGTTTTTGGAACCTTTTTACATGTTAGCATGAGACGGCATATTTTGTACACAAACACCTAGAACTTAATGCAGTTGTATAATAAATGTTCTACACAAACAGCTATTGAACTACAGCCAGTGATATAAGACCGTCTAGCAAATGAAAACCAATCATAAATCATTTTGACACACACACACAGAGAATGAATAATACTGTCTCCCAATTTTTTCGATTATTTTTCTCATAAAACTACATTCCAGTCTCTAATTCTATTTTTCCCTCACCTCTAGTCTAACAATTATGGAGTAAGGCATTACTTATAACCATATCAAACATGGTGAAGTCATAACTGAGTGAATAACTGTGAAAAGCAGACTACCTTGTTTGTACAGAGAGACAACTCCTTTCTTTACCAATTTTGAACTCAATTACTTCAGCTAACAATGATTTTATACATAATTCTCTGACTTGAAATATAACAGAAAACAGCCTACCATTCAATCCACTTCTGTCTCTCCTCTGCCGTCCGACAGGAGTAGTATTTTGTCCCGTTACTGGTGGACACCTGAAAACAGTGGTCTTGTCCCAGGATACTGCTGTGGAGTGGCTTGATCTGGATGTCTGGCGCGCTCAGGTCCACAGAGTGCATGCTGGACAGGGGGTGAAGCAAAGACTCATGGGACCTCGAGGTGCGCAGACGACTGTTGATTAGATTTCTGAAAGATGGACAAAAATGTGTGATTATACAGAAACAATTTTGTTTGAATTTTGGTGATGATTGAAATATAGGAAACTGCAACTGCAATGTATATTTTGACTGAAAATAAATAGTTTTATACTGTTTTTAATGATGTTACTAATTTTCTTGCTATTTATTCATCACTACTCTTACTAAGATGTATCTTTATTGTATTTTTTCTTTTTTTCGCCTGTAAAAATCAGACAGGAAATTATCCATGCTTTACAATAATACTTTCCCAACCACGTTCCACATCACCACCATATTGACATGAGAGAAGTAATCACGCCATTCAGACAATAACAATACAAACTTAGACCAGCTGGAATTAACATGTATACCAATAAAACCATGCACACACGTAATATGTCCTGGTTAGTAGAATACTGTATACACTTTTCAGACAGCAGCACAGAAATACCACGAATTACAAATCACATGACTTAGGAATGCGATTTCATGGATCACTTAAAATATTTAGTCTCCTCCACCAGAGGCTTCAGTCATAATCTTATTCACATCTGCCCATAGTTCAGATCTTAAATATACATCAGGGGTATCATACCTAGGTAACCCACAGTTATTTCCACCTATCAGTTCATTTGAATGAATCTTAAAGTTCTTTAAAATACTTCTCTGTTTGAATTGTGAACTTATTGAACATATAATATTTCCTAATCACAAGACACTTCTTAGTTTATACAGTTAAAACTAACACGACAACTCAAGCTCATTTTTCCAATGATCAACTGATAAATAAATGTCATTTCATTGGGTAGCAATTTGCCAAAGTAAGTAGCTTAAACATCAGTAAATGCTACACAAAGTCAACACTTTACAGAGACTTGCACTTTCCTCTTCCCCAATATCTCCATTCTAACTGGCAGTTACAGTATATATCCACCTTATAAACATTACCTGGGAAGATATTTTTACACTTACTGTTATGACCATACACATTCATACTTACTGTTTTTACCAAGGTTAATACCAATGATAATCATTATAATACTAATGATAATTTATATATCAGGATCTTCCAGAAGAAATTGTTGCCACTTACTCCATCAGTCTGGCATCATATTCACGATAAATCTCTATCATACTCTTCATCTTCAGACCAATAAAACACACAACAACAAGTCAATTTAATGGCGCCATCCACCAAGGCATTCTTTGTACTTGTCTTCTGTCGTCGCCGTTGTACTATGTGTGGCCTGCTGTTACACGGCACAAGTTTTTGATTTCTCTCGTGACAATAATCATGACAAGATGCTCAATATATGCCAAAGATTTTCATTCCAATTAAAATATATGATAATTCCTATGCAGCAGCTGTAGCTTTTTTTCGCAAAGCCACAGACACTGATCTTCTTCAGCACGTCATGGCTGTTTAATTTAGAAACTTTTTTAGGCAGAGAAAAAGTTCATTCGGAACTGTTCAATCTTCCTCTGTCCACCTCATCTGCAGCCGATGCTTGTTGGACACTTACAACTGACCAGCTGTTTGAGAGCGGTTGATTTTAGCCAGCTTGGTCATAAGTCATAAACTCTTTATCAGAATCATCTGACCGATTATAACAGCCGATTCTATAACCAACTAACTTTAACACATGGCAGTTAACTAACTGTGAAAGTCACAAAGCGGTCAGAGCCTTTAATTAGGCGTAATCAATTTTGACCCACTCATAACTTTCCATTTCAATAATCACTGAACCAACTGGCCTACCTGATAAACTCCATTCCTGCTGGTGCTCTCTTCTCACACCAACTAACTCCCCAAAAATGTCACATGGAAAAACTGCAACCTACACTTGACAACAGTATATCACCAGCCACCACATGTCCCTGCCCCAGAATTAAGTGGCTGGGCTATATTTCAGCCACACACTAACAAAATCATGCCACTAGAGTTAATTGAAAACAGACCTAATTCCCACTAGTGTAACCCTACCTCATGTTATTAGATTGCCGGGTGGAGTGAGTCACAAGCTCTGGTCACTCCTATAGCAGCAGCCAACAGTTATCCTAGTCCTTGTTACAGTGAGTCATTGTTTTAACAATATCCATGGCAGTAGCCAACAATAATTTTGATACTGCAGTGTTCTCTTGTCTGAGTGAGTCAATGCTGCTGTATATATCTCTGGCTGCAGCAGTTTGTAACTGTCATTGGGGTTGTAACATAGTCGCTGAGGTTGTAACAGTGACAAAGCAATTCACTGGTTCTGTTTATACATTTTAACAATCAAATTGCAAAGAAAGTTTCCAAGGCATTCAAAAAGAAATATCTTTTGAATATTGCACAATAAAGAAAATTAAAAATGCAAAAACCCTCAGGTTTTTAGTGTTATCACAAAGCTGATCATATGAAAAAATGTTCTGACAGTTCTTTCTACAGCTGTTGAAGACATCGCAGCCAAGCATCCCCACACAATAAAATGTACTCAGACAAGATAGAAGTGATGAAAGCAATATTGTCATCCTATTGTGCTTTAACTATCTAGATACACAGAACTATTGGAAATCCCACGTTATCTTCTTAACAGTGGTAATCTCAACTTCGGACCACACCTTTCTCAATTTGATGAGTTAAGTCTAGATCACAATCCTGGTATTGTTATGCCCCATCTCTTATTTCTAACCATAATGTTGATGTATTTCGTCTAAGGGAAACTGAGAGATATGTGAAAAAGGAATAAACAGGGATATCTGGAACTGCCTCATGTAAAAACAGAGATAGAAATTATACTGAAAACTGGCATTCCATTGCAGGTTTTAAATCAAGAATGAATGAAAAACACATATCATTCAGAATTGTTTATAAATTTATGTCTACATAGAGGAGCCATTCTTTATGTTTTATTCATCTTCAAAAACGATTTGCAATCCTCACCCCAATCCTCACCCTGACTGCAGCTCATCATTGCAATAACTGGTCTCTAGAGGTGACATAATCACAAGCAGTGCAAAAAAATATTGGTTTCTTCAAATGTTTGAAGGGGCATTAATGTCTCAAGCCATCTGACCCCCCCTGGTTCTAAGCAGATTATTAACAGGGTGGTGACAAAACTGGCCAAGAAATGACCAGCTAAATGACACACAGGGACTGGCACCTGAAATTACAGCACTGATCACACCATCTGTTCACTTCAGCTCTGATATAATTTGATCAACTCTGAATTACTGTTGATCTCCACTCACTGTTGCAGATGGCGCTGTACAAAAGCCAGTGAGGTAATAGCTGCAGGTGAGAGAAGGGGGTCCTACAGCACGCTTTCTTAAGGTGTACCCTTGTAGCATGTGCAGGTATGATAAAATAATCTGTCCAATTTAGTTTTAGAACTTAGGTCTTTAATGAAGAATATTTTCCTAAAAATAAACTGAATAAATAAATAAATATATTAAAAAAGGATGAAGTTAAGTAGTACATTTTAAAATAGTGCCATCTTTACATTTAAAATGATATATTTCATTTTTAATCAATTTTTTAAAACAAAGTCAGCTGTCACTTTTAGGCTTATGTCTTTTATGAATATTCAATTCCTCTCTTTTTATCTCTCTCATGAAATCAATTGTATTAAGTCACCAAACTTTTCACATCACGAAATGTCAAATAATTACAAGAAGGGCAATTTTACTAGGAAACATTTTGATGTGGTCACAAACTAACCACCTCTGGTCAGCTGTTACTACAATACTGTTATCACGACATTACATTACATTACATTGCGTTACAACTTCCACAATTTACCTGAGCCAGGAAAGGAAATATCTACTTAATCTATTGGAACACAACACGCGTTTGATCATCACACGACTTCTTTTCAGCTGCAAACATAACATGCTGTAAGCTGTTTTTTTAACCAAGCTTGAAAAGAAAAGATCAATTTATTGGGATGTGTCACCGACTGGTAAACCACATTACATGTGTCATTAGTTCTAAATATTATCACACCTGTGCATCTGCTAGATCATCATCAGACAGGTAAAACATCAAATTAATCCACAAAGACATGACAAGTACAGTGATCCATTATCCCCACTAATGAAACTGCTAGACATTGCCAGGAAAAGGATGAATGCCCAAAACCAAACAACTTATGAAGAATACATATAATCAAGGAGATAACATGTCTATCATAATGATAATAATAACAAGAAAATATATGAATCTAATAACATAAATCATGGATAGTCCTGAATTCAGAGATTCATAATACTGATGTGACATGCTCTGGCCCACTTATTTTTTTTTTTTTGCCAGAATTTGAATTTATTTTGACTTAAATTCTGACTCAAAAACACAAAATATATAAATAACAATACATTGAAAAATTCACTGGGTTCCTTGGACTTTCTTTTATCTCCCTATATCCTGTGGAAAAAATGCTAGTCGCTCAATGACGATGGAATATCCTCTTGTCAACTTATAATTATTTTTTCAATCTTTTTCCCCATCACAGAATATTTTCATACAAAAACTTGGGAAATTACCAGAATAAGCATTACATGAATATGTTATAGATCAGCCACTGTAGTAAATTCCAGGTAATTCCCAAAATAAATGAACCTTTTTACCTTTAATCCCTGGTCTCTCCTTTTTCCAGAAAACCATCTTCTGACAAACTCTTAAAATTCATCTCTCTTCCCTCTCTCTCCTATAGAATAATGACTTAAAAAACTCTACACTATAGAAAGCAACATACCAACTCCCTGCAATTCAAGGCAATGGACTACTGACTAATTACTGGGGAGGCATTTAGATCCTATTCTCTTGGTAAAATGAAATTATTTTCCTCGGGTGCTTATCTTTGCGCATCCTACGGAGACCTCATCCATCACTTGAGACTGCTCCATCACTTGAGACTACAGGGCTGTAAATCTCCATTTATTGATGACCTTCCTTTTAGTGCTTATGCTTGAAAAATGTTCAGATAAACCTAAATCCAAGTTTTCTCTAAATGAAAAACTGGACTTGATGTAAATTGTACTAAATGGGAAAAAAATCACAACTATACCGTACTTTAAGCTATAGTATTATGAAAATCACTTTATGAACGTGTTTTGTGTGAAGATTTTTAAGTTAAATTTCCATAATAACATAATAATTGCCAATGAGAATCCTTGTTGTTTCAGTGATACCCCAGTCAATCATTACACAAGAGAATAACCACATCTGTAACTCCTCTTGTCTTTTACTTGTGTTCTAAAATACGATAATTACTCACTGATTTCCAACACTTCATTTATGCCAGCGATAACCTTAGGAAATCACAAATCCATACTTTAGAACGAATAATTTCTTTACCTTTCTCAAATTTGACATCAGATTGTGTGTGATGGAATACTTCCGATTGCACGAGTAGAGTTAAACATAAGCAGGATTTCTGTTATTCTGATTTTCCTAATTCATCCTTGCATTTACTTTAACTGCCACTACACTGATCACCTTGCACATAATCTTCTTATTCCAGAATTGTGAGACAAAGAATTAAGATAACTTAAAACTCATACACCAGTTCAAAATGCCCAGCCTTCCTTGTGAGATAAAGACTAGCAGTGAGAGGTCAAAGTATTGTCATAATTTCCAATTCAGAACATTGAAGTATCAAACATAACTAATGTTGAAATCAAAATTATGAGGTAAATCTCTTTTGTCATTTTGACTAACCACAGAATTAAGAAACAAAGACATGACCATCTGTTAGAAAGATGCAATCAGATTATGCATAATTTGCTTAGTTTACTCCATTGAATCTTATTACTGTAAAGCAGAAAAGCAATTGTTCCACTTTTAACTTTACCAGGAATATTCACCATTTCATGACAGATTCTGAAGTGCAACAATTTCTCTCTGTATATGTCATATCTCTGAACATTTTGAAGAGGCAAACACAGAGTACAGTTATCACATAATGGACTTTTACTGTAAGCAGGTGACAGCTGTCATCCCTCAGGGAAAGTTGTTCACATTCCCTGGAGATTCGCCTTTAAAAAAATGACAGCATGACTCAGCAACTTATGAGACAAGTTCTGCATTGATGAAAAAAAATACTTCTTGTTAAGTAAGATTAGAAAAACAAACTTCAACCAAAAGTTAAATTTTTCATCATAGGACATCAATTCTTGAGCAAAGCAAGACTGTTTTTTTTTTTCATCTTAGCCTATATTTCCAAGAAAAAAATTCCTTAGAAAGCTCTATTGTCTGAGGCCATCACTACAAAAACATTGAGCCCCAATCTTGTCATTCCCAAGTGTCATTGTGTTCCTCAAATGATATTTTCTATATAATAGCAGTGAAGTTGTTGCACTTAAATAGATTATATGGCTTTTCAGGATAAAAAATCAAATAATGTGATACGGTAAAAACTTGAAAATTTTGTCACTTAGAAACATATTAATATTATTATAAAATATGTGAATCTTACGTACTTTACAAAATTATCAAGACGCCAATTTTCAAGTATGACAAAATTCTCTTAGCAAAAAAGTTGCATCGGCAAAGACTCATATTACAACAAAATTTCTGAAACTGACTATATTTTCAAGGTTTTACTGTAGTGAACTACTACCAATTAACACAAAAAGGTGAGTACTTGCTTAATTGACATTTTCTTCACATATAACCAACAAATGACTTCTACTCTAAGACACAATGAACACATCAATTTGCAATAAATTGAAGTAAAAGGATCCATCCATGCTGCCCTTTCACGTTCCAGTAATTGTATTACATGAGATGATGCATGCTATTCACCTGATTGAGGTAAGTGCTCTTGATTGCTTGTTGATAAAAACTGAATTAATTTTTATAACAGCAATTATTTTCTTTTTTTAATGGATAGGGAAGGATAATTTGAACCACGCCTTCCCTGGCTTCCGTTAACATCACTTAAAATGTTGTCGCACAGTCAATAAATTCATTATGTTTAGAGCTGATATCACATTGGAAGAAACATTCTTTATACCTAGTACTACTGGGGTATCCACTGACTCTACTATCACAATTGAGATTAGGGAATTATTCAAAATATATACCAGCAGACATCATCCACCAATCACAGACTAAGTTTCAAAGAGGCATCCTCTCTCTGATTGGCTACCTTCTCCAAAAATCTTTCATTTGATGCCATAATGGCCGGGTGCGGTTAATTTGTGATGGATCCAATAGTAATGAGCAATATCTCTCAGCTAAGGGAAGTAAACAGCTGCTCTCTTATGCCATTTGATCCCCTTTTGTACACCTGATCTCTGACAGCGCTGATTGCTTTCAATGCTTTATCTATGCCCACCACCAAAGCGTACAAAATCGTCTGATTACTTCTCTCTTTGGTGGACTGAATTAAGATAACCCACAAATGTGTTTGTATACACTACAAAGAAGTAAAATCATTGTACTTTGCACCACCTTTAGCTTTGAGTTAGTTCAGATATCTTGTTGAAAGCCTTTTTTAAACAGAATTTGAACATTTGGGTAGCTGATAGTTACAAACATCATGACAAGAATGTTGAAATATGCAGCCATCTTACATGCATACAAGTTCCCAATATTTGTGCTAAATGACTTTGAAGAAATGAAAATAAACAGTGTTCAAGCATTTCAGAAAGTTGTAGGAGTGAGGAATTAAATATGTATAAATAGTTATTATAATTGTACATAAATAGATGTAGCACAAAAGAGCACCTGAAACAAGTAATTATAAGACATTCATATAATACTTAACACAACATGAATCATATCGTATATTATATCACATATAGCCTAATTAACCCCAGCATCACATACACCATAACAATGATCACCATGTGACAATACCTACCACATGTCAATCAATACAACATATCAATATGGACAATACCAA